ATTTGGAGATGGAATTGGAGGTTGCCAACTGCTGGAAGCCAGACCAGCAATGCTATAAAGACGCAGAGGAGGATGCATTGAAGCTACAGTATAGCCAGGCTCTAGATCGGCTTGAGCTGTTGCTCGTTCAACGTCTTCTCGAGTTGACAAAGATGAACCAATCTGGTCTATGTACGTGGATCTTTTGCCTGTCAAGTGTTTCTGCTGATGCAAAACAGGCTACAAGATGCGGGCGCACCTATCGAAGGCTATTCAAGTTCGGTCGAAAACAGTGCAAAATGCCATCAATACATACAACTCTATTTGCCAGCTACAAACACCGCCCAAACCCGAAATCTTGTGGGATGACGTGGTTACTCGTACCTTCCTCGCCGATTTCGACCTCCTTCGCGACAGCACGAGCAACATTCAGCAGAAGCGCTGGGCGCGCCCGGTTTACCGAGAGCTTATGCATCGGTACTTCAAGACACTGCGCGCTCACGAGGAGATTGCGCGCCTCAATGTGGAGATTCGGCGTTTGCTCACCTGGATGCGGGACGACTGGGAGTTTCTCACGAAGGTCGAAGCTGAACTGCGGGATACGTCAGGAAAGTCACAAGAACAAGCTGCGCACGATCTCCTCATGGCCACACAACTTGCCCAGCACGCTGCTGAACGACATCGGTTCGACGACACCCATCTCCATCGTTTTACTATTCTGGCGGGAAGAGATGGCTTTACGGGAACTCTTGAACTCGGGCGTTGCTCGTCGTCCAGCTGCAGGTTCAGCACAAAGGATGGAGATTGATAATGATATGTTCTCGGTACCCTCAGCTTCATCGTTACTTCACTCTACTGCTGATTTGCAACACCGAGGGGATGTGCAAGGAGAGGATTCGGAGGATGAAGGGGACGATGCCCTTGATGAATATGTGGCTGATATCGTATATAATCTGGCAACGGTAAGTATAGATGAGGCAGATCGAGAATGGACATTGTAGTTTGATTATATAGTTTTTTTGTGATTTTTTTTTTTTTTTTGATGGCTGACTGATGCCATCAATGTGAGTGACATGGAGTGTCAATTAGCGGACATGTTGCAAAATAAGGCTTCAAACCCAAAAACATATAGGTTTGGAAATTTCCTTTTAAGGCAATCTGTGATGATATCATGATTGATGAGCTGGATATTGTAGATGGGTTCTCTCAAGTTTTAGCCCTTGGAATTATTGACTTTATAGCAGTTTTATACCAGTATTTATTGCAGCATAGGGCTTCTAAGCTCATCTCTTGAAATTAGAATGTGCAGTGCGATGCACTGGTCATTCTTATTTGAAGGGTTATGTGGGATCCACAGGTGCTCAACCAATAATCCTTCCGACGCGATAATACTATTTCGAAAGAGCTAGCAAGATAGATTGACGAGCTAGATCCCCAGATGCACCTAGTAGAGCGGGGCAATCCGTGAACCTGCCAAATACAAAACAGAGATATAAATACTAAACAGAAATTGATAGAATCAGGGAAAATCTCGAGTAAGAAAAGTAGTCCATGTGCATAATTGTATAGGTATCGTTTCGCCATACGGCCCAGAGTCGAAAATCCAGGTCCAGATGACTGGTATCGCGTGTATTGGAGTCAATGACCTGTGTAAATCTTCCATGTTCGCGACCATCTAGTTTGTCCTGTGAAGAATCCCTCGATCTTGAGTAGGATAAGTGGATAGCTCTGCTTCCCAGCTTTCGATTGACACCCATAACTCGTATCTTGTGCATATGGCCTCAGCGGTGGTTGTCCCAACTCTCCTGGCGCATTTCCAATGTTCAGATGATCTGTTCCTCGACAGTGTTTTAGAGTCGCCGTTGATCACAGGTCCAGGCCCCAATCAATTGAGTAGGTTTTCGCCGTTTAACCGTCCCTTGGCACTCTCGATCCTCCAGCATGATCCGAAACCACGTTCCAATGATGTCAGTCGTCGATACCAACAGAGATAGGGGTGTCCCTTATCTAGGAGAAGTCGATCTCGAGTCTCCACTGAGCGCCAAACCGAATATGCCTTTTAGAATACACTGCCTTTGGGTATTTTGCATAGAATTGGATAGATTCTAGCATAGAACGGGCTCTGCGAACTTTTCCTAGTCAAGATTTTGGAATCACTGAGAGCGATTTGATAGATTTTGACTGGAGTTTGACTGGTTCTTGTGCAGGTAATTCCCTAGTTGACCATTCGGGACTCATGTCAACTCTGAGACGTGCGCTGAGCAACAAAATCGACAAAAATAGTCGTTTCCTGGTCTGTCCCAGACTGCGGCTTATCAGCGGGCCATATTAGGAAGAAGGAAGTGAATTGGGTCAATGTTCTCTTGGTTCTCGAACGGAAACGGGGGCAGAGGTGGTGCCGGATTTTCGCCACCTTCAGTGTCAGAGTCGGAATCATTGCCTTCATCTTTTTCTTCAAGCTCTGGCTGGATAGCGACACGAAGCGCATTAACGTTAAAGCAAGCAGGAAGACGGTCCTGTGCATGGTTTGACTGGAGGGCTGCCCGAATGGCGTTAACGGGGTAGGTGGCGGGGAAGCCATTGGCGTCTGTTGAGAATGATACACTTGGAGCAAAGTCGGCATCGGAAAAGACTCCATAATTGACGGGCCATGCGCCGCTTGAACGCCACACTGACTGGATTGTTGATCGTTTGAACGATTGAGCCCGCACTTGCATATAGTGGTACACCAACTCCTCCTTCGGAATTTCTGCCTCGTTGTGCTCGGCCATATAGTTGTCGCAGTGGTTGATCCATTCTCTCTGAAACGGACCAAAAACGCCAACATCCAGGGGTTGAAGTTTGTGAGTCGTATGAGGTGGTAGGCAGAGCAAAATAATGTTGTTTTCGCGTGCATACTTGATCATTGGCAGCGTGTCGTGCGACCCATGTCCATCGTAGATAAGAAGGATTTTTTTGCCAGACTTGTTACGCGCGGTTGCTTGCGGGATGAAGTTCTTCTCAAGCCATTCGCTTCCCAGAACGTTGTCAGTCCACCCGTTTTCGGACATAGACACACTACGAATATGTCAGTAAACAACCAAGAAAGTCAGGGTAAAACACACGTTATACCCGGGTTATCCTCCGTAAACCACTCCGGACAGAATTCCTTCCCAGGGAAAACAAACCCCGGGGCCAGTGCTGTGCCATCGGCGGACACACATTCAATAATAGTAACAAGCTCGAGGTTACCGCTTCGAAAGCGGTATGTTGTTCGGACATTCTGCTTCGCCGCCATGAAGTACTTCTTGGAGCTGTTCTTCTTCCCCCCACCCCGCTGGATCCCCTTCTCGTCCATATTGTAGATGTTCTCCACCGGAATGTCGTGGTCCTTGATTAGCTGCTGAAGCAGCGCAAAATAGCGGCTAACAACAGGCCGATTGAATGCGCGCGCACACGGCGTGGGTCCAAGCCATAAGCCTTTCCCAGGCGAAGCTCCGGATGTCGTTCGAGGAAGGCGCGAATCCAGGTTTTGCTTGGACGGCGCCCAATCATGTCCTTGACCAAGGCTCGGATGGCGCATTTGTCGACAGGATGCCCGGTAGCAGCGAGAAAAAGGATCCACTCCACCAGAGCGGCCTCCTGAGATGGCTGAAGGAGTTGCTGAAGCTCGTGCTTCTCGGCGCGGGACACAGTGATGCCTAAGAAGCGATTTCGCAGCGTCGACATGCTGACTCCCAGTGTGTTTGCAACCTGAGTGACATTCGGCTTGAGCATTGAATGCAGCCATTTGACGCCTTTCTGAATACGTGTCTTGTAATCGTCGTCTGCTGTCGCTGAACGGGCATTGTCGAAATGCATCAGCAGCTGCGAGAAAAGAAGTCTGGTCGCCGTGATCGTGCCAGCGCTGCAGCACGTGAGGCTGGCGCCGCATCGGCATGTCAGCTAAGCGAGCGGACTTTAATACTGTCACGCTCATATTCGGCAGGTCAGTATTTCAGCTTCCCGCCCATATTTGACCCAGATTTTTTCACAGACCTTCTTCAATACATGCAATATATGCCTATGCTAGAGCCGGGAGGATTTTGTGGCGAATCTGGGCCGCGATAATCGTGTTTCCATGCTAGACAGCTGGGGTGATGGAGTGGATACCAGAGCTCAACGAGTTCTGAACCAAAATTAAATATTTTTTTTGCACAATACGATGCGCAATAGTGGTCGGAACAGAATCCGCCACCTCTGACTCTTATCCACTGAGAAATGCGAATTTTATCGCGGATTTTTCATTACAGGTGCCATTTTTCATTACAACGCCTATCATAGTATTACCAGTATATAAAGCCAGTGTCTTCCATAATTCAGAAGCTTTTTGCTCCCTCCAGTTCATGTTATAAGTCTCGCGCCCTCGTCGTAGCGCATCGCCGTCTTAGTCAGCATGTCTCTTGTCGTCCTCGTCCTCCCCACCAATACCACTACTGTAGCATTTTATTCAATTCGGCGCCCGAAATCGGTGTGACATCGGCGCCGAAATGAAATTCTCGGCGTCCGGCAGCTCCAAGTGTGACCGCCGAAAATTTTGGGCAGATTTCGGCGTGGCCCGCAGGGCCGCGCCAGCCAAAAATGGTACATCAGCCGAGGGAATTCGGCGTCTAGGCTGTCGAGTGTGACCGCCGAAAAAATTTCGGCATTTTAAGGCCGGTGTGACGCGTGACCGCCGAATTGAATAAAATGCTACAGTATATCATCCTACACTCCAAGTCCTGGGTATGGACTACCCTCGCACACACACAACAGCAGTGCGACCCTCGGAGTGTTTGGTTGCACCCAGTGTGGTGTAGCTTGCGCTCTCAGTCGCGTCGCCCGCGCATCAATGGGAGCCTATTTCCGTCAAAATCTCTACTGGGAAGACGAACATGGTGGTTGCGGAGATAGGCGAGATCTTCACATGCTCGGCTTACGGAGTGGTAAATCGATCGATCTATGTCACGGGCGGCTATCAAATTGTCAACACCTCTCTCTCCTTTCTTCCACTCGGACTTCCGATGGCACTCGCGACGTTCGTAGACCTCCCGACCGAGATCGTCGAGACCATTGCCGCGCATGCCGCCTCTGACGTACGTGCTTGGCTAATTCTTCTTGCACTGACTGCAAGAACATGTAAACTGATATACTACCATAGTTTACGCCGGCGGACACATGCGCCGCCCGCCTGGCATGTCGTGCGCTGTACGTGAACCTAGATGCGGCGTTCTACGCTGTTTTTGCCCTAAATGCGGCGCTGCTTGACGGGCCGCGCGCGCTGTGGAACGTGGACACACTTGTCGAGAGGGCGGCCAAGTGGGTGAAACATGCGACGACGGTGCGGGTGTGGCGGTCCGCGGGTGCTAGCAGCCGGCAGAAGAAGAAAGGGAGGACAGGTGAGTGGTATGACGGGACGGAGGAGACAATGGCGGCAGTGATGCAGTTGCTAAATATGCTGTCGCGGGTGGAGACTGTCCAGTGCGCCGAGTCTTTGCCTCGTTTTGCTTTCTACCCGCAGGCTTATCCTGTTTTCAGATGGGAAATCAACGCGGCAGACCCTGCCTGGCTGCAGGACGCATTGCGGTGGCACGTGAACTGCCACTGGCAGAACACACTGACGACACTCGACATCCGCTTCCATAGCTTTCCGCTCAACCAGCCGTTACCCGACCTCTCATACGTCACCAATCTGCACACTCTCAGGTTCCGCGGCTCGGCGCTGGGCCGGCAGCCAGTCGGTCCAGCGCGCGTGCTACCCGGCTCCTCCACTGAGGTGGCCCGCCTGCTAGCGGGTCTCCTCCAACAGAACCCGCACCTAACTGTGCTTGAGGTTCGGCTTGAGCCGGAAACTGCCGTGCACGGGGTTGGTGCGGAAGACTTCTCGCCGGAGCTCTGGCGTGGCATAAACGATGACGTGCTGTGCCGTCTCACTGAGCTGCACAGCAACGTGCCGGCCTGGCTTCTCGGGAAGTGGGGCCCTGGATTGCAACCTCTAGCGCTTAGGGTTCTGGTGCTGCGGGAGACAAGGCCGTGGGACACCGACGTTTTTCTCTTCAACCTACTGCCCGGGCTGCCCTACACGCTTGTCGACCTTGAAGTCAGCTCTGTGTACGAAAGCCGCTGGAGCGTTGGCCGGAACTGGGACGACATGGCAGTGCTAGAAAATTGGAAGATGGCCGCCTTGGAGCGCCTCACGGTGTCCGTCAACGCCGCCAACGTACTGCCCGGAAACCATGGCAACATGGATGTCATTGTAAGTCTTTCATTTGTTGGATCATATGATGTTTCTACTCAACAACGATTTTTTATCCAGCCTTTACTGCTTAGGATTGCAGCAGATGCTAAATCATTTCGCTCGCTCCGGACGCTGGCTATCCGCTGCTCGTACCCGAAGGACATGCGATACTCAACCTGTGGACCGCAGCGCGCCGAACATGCAGCTGGTATGCGCAGCGCCATTCGACATTCGTTGGAGGAGTTCGGCGCCAGCGCTGTGGACTGTCTGCCAGAAATTTGGGAATGGGATGTGTACAGCGAAAATGTGGTCGTGGAATTGTTGAGGGGAGAGGGAGAGAGTGCTAGTGGCGCGGAGGATGCGCACCGGGATGTGTGGTATCTCCTCCCGCGGCACTTTGAGAGGATTTAGAGGGGACTACTTGGAGAATTTATTCGACTAGCGTTTGCTGGATGGCTAGGGTACTTTTTAATATTAATAAAACAAGTGACGGTGTGCCCGTTTCCGGGCTCATCGAAGCTGTAGGATGTCTCAACTCGACCTTCGTGTACAATGTTGGAACGCTCGAAAATACCTGTTCCGGGTTACCTGTGAAAGGCCGAAACTGTAAATCATCATTGACTGTTGATTGATCATGAATGATCCTTCTGTAACCGTCGAAACCTGATCGCTTAGCCAAGGGCACTTGTCTCTTCCGATCATGATCACCGCACTGATGTTGCCCTGGCGGGCGTAACCAACGACGAAGAACCCTGCTCCGCCCCTCCACCATCCATGGGCAGCAAAACGAAAGCGACACCAAAACGGAGCGGGGGCGCGGGCCTGTCGTGGCGGTCGATCGCGCTGGTGGCTCTGATTGGTGCAACGCTGGCGACGCTGGCGATGCGGCCCGCCCTCCGGTCGTTTGTGGTCGGCCATGTCTCCGTCCTCGTTTCCGGGAGCCAAGGGAGCGCGGATGCCCTCGACCCCGACATGTATGACTATGAGGGCCACATGGCGGACAGGAAGATATTCGAGGTGGTGGCCTTGCCGGGGAAGGGGAAAGGTGCCATTGCCGTCCGGGACATCAAGGTGTGTTGCCCGTAACTTTCGTGGCCGCGTATCACTGAAACCCTTTCGTCGGGTAGCGCGGTGAGCTGGTCCTCCGCGAAAAGCCGCTGCTCGTCGCACCGGACGAGGAAAGTGCGTGTCCTACTCCTTTTCGCTGCTAGTGGCTTTTCTGACGTGTCTACTGCTAGCCCCGCGTGCATGGGTGAACGAGCTCTTTTTTAACTGGACCTACTCCCCCTCCAAGCGGGACACCTTCTTCAATCTGACCCACAGCCATCTCTGGCTCGACGACGACCCCGAGACAGGCTTGCCGCCTAAAGTAAACATCGACCCGCCCACCCAGACGCCGGATGAGCGCTTCTGGCTCACGGAGGCAATCCTGACCACCAATGTCGCCGCTATTACGCTCAACGATGCGCCGCTCCGTGGACTGTTTCCGCGCTTCTCGCGCGTAAATCATGTTTGTCCCGGGGCCAACAACGTCAATTACGAGTGGCGCGAAGAGGAGGGCGAAATGCGTATATATGCGGTCCGGGATATCAAGAAGGGCACTGAGTTGGGACACTCCTATATTGGTCAGGTGGGCCCGCGAGCGGCACGGATGTATGTTCTTCTTCGCTTTCTCCACCCTTGTGGGAGCTGAAGTATGCTAGAAAACACCTCGAGGAAACTTATGGCTTTACCTGCAACTGCAAGTTCTGCACCCTCGACGCGGAGGCAACGGAGCAGCGGGACGCGTGGGCGGCGGAGTGGAAGGCGCTGGAAACCGACTTCGATGCGCGGTCGGGGAATGGTGCGTGTGCTCTTTTCCTTCCTCTCCTTTCATGCTCACATTAGTTGAAGGCACGCTTCCGGGAAAAGAAGCCATCCGCATCGTTCGTGATTTATGGGAACTGTCCCTCAAGCTGGATTACACCACTGACCGAGCGCGCTTCTCGGAGGAGGCCGGCCTGGTGGCGATTGCACATGGAGAGTGCGTACGCTTATTTTGCCTTTCGCTGCTGTATAACTCCCTTCCCAGCAAAAAAGCCGCGGTACAGTGGCTGAAACTTGCGCACAAGTACTTCACTATCGAAGTTGGCGTGGACTCCGTGGTACGCTTTCGCTAACGACTTTCTTCAAAGCTGATTCGTTGTGGCAGGACGCGGAGCGTGTGGAGGAGCTGCTTGATAACCCGACCAAGGCGGACGACTGGGCGTCCAAAGAGCGGCTTACGCTGGACGGGCCCGACAAGGCGTGGTTCGATACGTAGAGGTTGGTCAGAGCAGGAACGGCTCGTGGAAGAGTATTTATGCCTCTACAATACAGGCACCAGCGATTAGAACGGGGATGTAAAATTACGCAGTAATCTATAGTAATGGTCGTCCTGGAAAGCAGCGAGTCCTTATTACTGGCGGATAAGCAATCTAATTAGTTGATCACGAGCCAATCTCGCCTCTCGAGAGATGTTGCGACCTTCTTCCAGCGCGCAGCGTACACTGAATCCGCTTCACGGTCATCCGACCGAGACTGAGAATGAGATGCAGACTCAGAATGAGACTCTGACTCAGAATCAGATGCAGACTCAGAGTCAGACGCAGACTCAGAGTCGCTGTCGCTGTCGCTATCGAGGTCGAGGCCGCTTGCGTTCGGGTCCCAGTCCGCGTGGAGACCCGGCTCGTCCGAGAGCTTGGAAAAAAGTTGCAGAAGGAAATCCGCCACGGCAACGGGATCCTTGATGGGCGAGAAGCCGACGTAAAGTTGACGAAGCGCTGCCTGCACGACGGCGACAGGCGGGGGGGACTCCCGGGCATCAAAAGACACGTCGAGGGCAACCAGACGGGGGCAGTGCGTCGCAAAGGCCACAAGACTCGCCAGGGAAAGGCGCATACGGTAGGGCGGGTCGGATGGGTGGAGCTCGAACGACTCGAGAGCGGGCCATGCGCGCGCGAGGGCGTCGATCATCGCGTCATCTGCGCTGTAGTGGCCCGTGCACTCGATATATACGTTCGTCAGACGCGAAAAGCCCTTCAGCGCGAGGAACGCATCGCCCGAGATGTTCACGTGGGCCGCGGCCACGAGTCCGTTGGCCACCTGAAAGTCAAATTGCTGCATCGTCTGCTTGTTGAGGTGGGTATCAACAGCTTGGAAGAATGTAGTTGTGTCCTTGGTGTTGCCGACAGTTTTTGCAGAGACATGGACCGTGAGCTCACCTAGGGGGGAGGCCCCGAGGTGCGCGATGAGTGCTGGGAGTCTGCGAAGGTTGGCGTCCGTGAGGATAAGTGTCTCGAGAGCGGAAAACATCTGCAAATCGTCGAGAGCTTGGAGTTTACCGATTTGGGCGTCAAGATCCACATCAAATGATTCAATTACCAGGCTTTTGAGTTTTTTCTGACGAGAGATATGGAATACGATCTCGTTCGTCAGAACTGGCAGTTCCAAGCTTTCTAGATGGTGGAGGCTCCGGACAAGTTCGGATATTGCTTCCGTATCGTAGCTCGTGCCAAAAGTGAGGGTAGTGAGCTGTGGTGCACGGTGGGCAACAATAGGAAGGAAGGAGAGTAACGACGGGGAGCAATCGTTGGTTGTGAACTCGATGTGCTTGAGCGTGGGTGGCAGAAGAGGTCGGAGCAGATATAGGTGGTCGGGGTCGTCACTGCCAGACAGGGAAAGCTCCTGAAGCCGCGGGAAGAGGTATTGGTCAGGGAGCCAGGTAGTCAACGTGAGCAATAGGTTGCGCTGGTCGAAAGACATGGACAACACGCGGACAAGATTGCAGTAGCGCTGTGGCCTCTCCCAGTCGCGGAGCAGAATCATACGGGACGGTCGCTAGAGTGAGCATGTCAGTGGCGTGTATACAGGGAAAAGGTCAATGGCACGAACCATCCTCTGAGTGCGCCTGACAAAGAGACCGTGCGGGAAGCAATTCAGAATATGCCGCAGCGTGAGGTCGCCAGGGTCACGCCACAGCTGCTCCAGCGCTGGCCCCTCAAAGCTGCGACACGTTCTTGCCAACGCCGCCAAGGTCGCATGCGGACGTTCCTGCACCGACGACACCTGGGAAAACACCTGGAGGATGATCTCGGGAATCTGCATACATCGATGGACGGTGCGCGAGGGTGGACCATCCGCTGATGCAATGACTGAGGGCTAGGATGCTGGGTTTTAGAAAGGACAGGGATATAACGAGGATGACAGACCTCCGGCCGGTTGTTGGTCATATCGCAGAGACTGAAGGGTCACAGTGTGATTGATGTCAAAGTCACGCAGTCACTGTCAGTCACTGTCACGGTACAAATGTCTTTTTTCTTGAGGTTTTCTTTTCCAAATGTTGCACATATTTTCTTGAAGGAATACACTAATATATATATGCTTAAGCATCCTGATATTGACAGTACAAGGTGTCCAAATAAATAACCGGATGTGTGACATCATCGATGAAGCAGCCATAACACCGCGCTCACCCACGCTCTACAGTCAACCACCACCAGCCCTCACCGTGCCAAAGGCGTCTACGATGCAGACCACCCATCCCCACCTTGATACACCACGCAAAAACCAGTTCATTGGGTCCATGATGGCCATCAGCAATGTGTCCGCAAATGCACGTTTGCATGACATCGCAAAGTCGACGGCAGGAGACCTGTGGATGAAATGGTGCAAGTATGGCACAACGGACGAGCTCCCAGGACGTGGACGGCCACGAAAGGCAGACGAGAACACACTCCAGGAGGCGCTTGACGCGTCAACAGGCTCAATCGAGAATCACCGCCGACCTCTCCGAGACATCGCCAATCGTGTTACTGCAGATGTGGGCGCCGAGACAATTCGTCTTAAGCTTGCTACCAACGGCTACCATCGTCGGGTTGCTCTCAAAGTGCCTGCATTGAATGTCAGGACACGCGCCAGGAGATTGGCGTGGGCAGAGGCCCGGGCAAAGTCGAAGAACACTGGATTTTGTCACGTCTTGTGGTCGGATGAGGCCTATGTCATCCTAGGAGAGAGTCCAGGGCGTGTTTATGTGACGAGGAAACCCGGAGAGGAGATGCTGGAGGAGTGCTTGGTCGAGGTTGCAAAGCAGTCGTCAGTGTGAGCAATGGTGTGGAGTTGTGTGGCGAAGGGACACAAGAGCCCATTGGTTATTTTGGAGTATCCGGGAGGCAAGGGTGGCGGAATGACGGCAGTGCGGTACCGCGAGCAGGTCCTCAAACCTGTTTTGCGAGATTTTTTTGCGGATCTTCAGCTTGATGACCCCGAAATCAAGTTCCAGCAGGACGGTGCACCCTCACATCACGCCAAAATCACGCAAGAGTGGCTCCACGATGAAGAAATCCCCATTTTCCCTCATCCCGCCACTTCTCCCGATGTGTCTCCCATCGAACCCTGCTGGTGGGAGCTCAAAAAGTGTCTCTGAGCTCGTCAAACCCAGCCAAAAAACTATGAGGAGCTTGTGCAAGCTCTCCATGAGGAGTGGGCCGCCATCCCGCAGCACGACATCGACAAATATATCAATCGCATGCCTGACATTGTCGACGCTGTCATCGCTGCTCATGGCGGCCACACTCGCTACTAACCTGAAGCACACTCTTATTAACACTCTCTGTATATACAATCCTATTACAAGCGAAATGCGAGTCCAATATGCACCTGTAGAGTCCGAGTTAGAAGAATCAATTTGAGCGTCCGGTTATTTATTTGGATACCTTGTATTACTGGCTATTTATATATATATCATAGAAGGTGGATTTGTATAATGGAAATTTGACACCAAAAATGGCCAGCTGATTGCCACCAAATCAAGGCCCTGGATATAGATGCACATAACTGGGATATTACCAAATAAGGCAATTTCCTGTCATGTGTCTGGAAAAAAACCCTTAATTTGCAAACAATCAGGATTATGGGAGGAGCTTGCAACCCCCATTTCTGATATAGGGCACCTTTTCCCCGTTAGTGTCGCAACATGCGTGAAATGCCATGTGGAGATATTAGTCATGGATTGGTCAGCCACACGGGCAGCACACCAGGGCTGGTGATTAGGATCTGACAAGCTCCAGACAGACTTGTTCACCTAAATTCATTGTATTTAATTTTGACATGCATTTGTCATATGTACATCCTGCTTCAGGCAGCTTTTTTTGGTTAAATTCCTTGTGCTTTAGTCTAATATGGAGGCTACAAAAAGTCCAGTTTTTATTTCCATCAAAAAAATGAGGCGGATTTATACATGAATTGATTGAGACAGACCTGTTTATTTGCAAACTTCTGCTATGACTCTATCTTTCACATCTTCCTGTTAGCTGTGTATTAAGATTAAGGCACAAAAGACCTTTTAAAAGTCCTGTTCAAGATTTTGTAATTTTTTTTTTTTGATAGAAGAATGACTGACAATTGTATAAGTATATACACAGCAATGACTAGGACTCACATTATCAATAGAGTGCTGTGAGTAATTCAAAAAGGATTACTCACAAGCTTAAGTGTTTTGAAACCCATTTCGAAACTGGGCAGCTGCTGGACAGTGAGCAAGCCATGTATAGGTGACTTCTGACATATCGGACAATACTTTATAGGCTACACATAGGTCCATACTGATTCCATGGCCAACTGCTGTGGCTCCAGAAAGCTAATTCATATGACAGTCATGCCTGGGCAGCCCGGATATGTCATGTGTCTGTTTCAAAACTACAGTTAGTTTGCAGAAATTTTAAAACTCACACCTGTGTTGAAACTATTTCAAAACAGGTTTCAAACAGGTTCAACTCACAGTACTCTATTAACTGCTGAAAAACTTCAGCATAAGGAGCAGGCCAGAGAGCCACAGGAAAGATTTTGATAACATCATAACATTTCACCTTCAGTGTTTTGACCAGTAGTCTGTGACATGCCAAAGTTTTTCCTTGCCAGGCTAGCATAACATACAATTAGCAAATTGAACAAAATGCTACAGTCAAGTTACACTGACTCGGAAAAATAATTGGATCAGTCATGTCACATAAGTTTCTAAGTCTTAGACACAGATCCTTAGGTTTCAATGGTGTATTAGATAGCGCTATCCTCATTCAAAGTTGTGTGCCAATAGCCAGCTGTGTCAAAGAGCAATGACGTTGTCAGGGTTCGGGTCGGGCAGTCGGGCCCTATACAGCCCAATGGGCCCTCACCACTCTTAGAGCCCTAGGGCTTGACAAGCCCTCATAATTCACAAGCTCAAAGCACTGAGCAACAACACTAATATCCCAGAGAAGGGACATAATCACGGATCGCGCTTTAGTCAGCCATCAAGCCATCATGACCCGCCATCAGGAATCATGATGCGCCGCCGGACGCCCTTGACAGCGGGCCCAATCGGCTCTAGACAACCACAGGGCCCAGGAGGGAGCTCCTTACTGTTGCATTGTCAAACACTCCTTAGTGGCGACTTTGGCATGGCTCCTTTCTAGAGGAATGGTCCCTGGGCTCCTAGCGGAGCGACCAGGGACGACCAGAGACATCCCCTGCTCCATTCTGATCAACCCTCAGCGGGCCCGATCGGCCCCTAGCGCCCACAGTATATAAAGACTAGAGTATTACTCCTGTACCTTAGGTTTAGCATTGAAGTCTCTTCCTTTGAACCCTACTCCGGCCTGGTCCCCTAGAGCGGGGTTGCTGCAACCATACCCTAGGAAAGGGGGGTCTAGACGACTTCCAACACCCCAGGCTAGCTTGCCTCATTGACCTGAGCCCTTGGTTGGGCTGGACAGCTCACGCTCTTGTCTCTTATGTTCACCCTTGTCCTATCCACTTCTTCTTGCTCTCTGGCCTCAAGCTTTGGGTTCCCCTGGTACGGGGCAATGGGAGAGTGCGGGCCCGATCGGGCCCGCATGTCACGCGTCACACCGCGCCGTCACGCGGTGTCTAGGAGCCACAGCGACTTGTTTCTCCAGGAAAGGAGATATGTCGCCCCTTGGACTGGCAACCCTTCTCAAGCGCTCCAGGGGTCTCGGGCCCGCAGCCCCTGTTGCGGGGCGACTCCCCTCGACCCCCTGAACCGTCGGGCGTGACCGCGTTACGTCACACCCCGCCCGAACAGCTTGTTCAACTGGCACCTACCAATTCCACCTGTCCTTTCATATTAGAATGAACGGCCCGCTGGGCTGCACATTCTAATATGAAGGGATGACCCCAAATGCCCTATGCTGCAATAAATACCCTAATAATTCTGCAACATCTCTAAGTTCTCAAGTCCCTCAGCGCTAAGTCTCTTCTATGCTGCTAATGCTGCAATAATCCACTGCTATCTAAGTTAGTTTCCTAAATTAGCAAGTTTGATATAAATGGTGATAATAGTCATATATAAGCAACAACTTTAAAGTATACTGTGTAAGAAGGTCAGATCCTATTGTCTTGGTCACAATGTCGCATAGTGTGACATGTGTATGTGTGTGTGTGTGACAAATTCCCAAAAAGGAAATTTTGTCAGTTCATAATTATGAATGTAGAACATGTGACACTAGTATGTGACATTCATATGTGATGATGCTATAAGGAAGCTATTATATAAGTGTATTCTACCATAAATGATAATGAATAATCCTCTTAAGACTGTACAATTATCAGAGAATGTCACAGATTGTCACAAACCAAAGTTGTGTATTTTGTGCATATGAGCAAATTTCATTAAGTGATTTATAGTTCCAGCTGAATAATTGTGTTGGCACTAGCCAATCATTAGCTGATCTATACCTGATACAGCAATATCTCATCAAGTAGACAACTTTTATAGGTGATTGAAGCGCTATTCAGGGTACCTGAGGGATAAGATCAATTTTCTTGACAATAAACTGTTATTGGTCTACCTATATTCTTGTATGATGATTGTTAGACTGCGGGTCGGGCCGTGCAAGGACTTCTCCTAAGAACGCGCACCCGGAACAGAACAGACGAATAGTCGGGCCCGCAAGTACGGCGGGCGGTGTAGATCGAAACCGAAAGGGCCCGTGAACTCGGTCCCTTGTCGTGGTCGGTGGTCGAAGGTTCGAATCGGGTCGTGTCGGGCCCGGTGAGTCGATAACGCCTCCTTGCACGGAGTAAGGTAGTTCTTCAGACGATCTAAGCGATAGAGTACAGGGTACACTATCGCGCCTTATATACGCGGGCCCGCAAAGGGGGTGATCGGACACCCTGGCCTCTCCTCCTCCTCCTAAAAATAATACAAAAAAAGAGAAAAGAAAACAAGCGGGAAAAGACACGAGGG